GAGAAAGGAAGTTCTGGTACATGCTACAACATGGATAAACCTTGAAAACATACTGAGTGAAATAAGGCAGACACAAAAGAGCAAATATTGTATTATTCCACTTGTCTGAAATAGCTAGAATAAGCAAATACATAAAGATCAAAGTTTATTAGTGGTTAACATGGGTGGGTGAGAAGAGGAAATGGAGACTTATTGCTTAAGGGGTACTGAGTTTCTGTTAAGGGTGATGAAAAATTGAAAAGAAATTATATGGTTGCACAACATGGTGAAAGTAATTAATGTCACTGAATTATACACATAAAAATGGTTGAAATGGCAAAAAAATAACTCATTCATTCAAAAAAAGAATAGTTATTCATTCATCCGGTGAACATGTGGTGGTATGTTCTTTGCTCTGTGCTAGATGTATGGGATGCAGAGATTGATTCATGTCACTCCTATAAAAGGGATCCTTTCCTTGATGATCCAGATCATCACTAGAAAGAGGACACAGGGAGAGAACTCATATAGGTGCGTCTTCCAGGTTAGACACAAATTATTCATCTGGTATTCAACAACTGAGAAAGTAAAGAGAGAAAGATGTAACTTCCACATTTTTTCCTCTCTCTTTGTTATGTTTCAAATGTTGTCTAAATCATTATTTTTGGTAGTTTAGAACTATTATTTAATTTTAGTTTGCATATAGTCCTTCTAGTAATTAAAAGTTATTGTTTCAAAATAGTTTTACTAGTACTGGTCTTTGCGTGCTTTAGTATGGAGATATTAGAGGAAAATAAATGGCTGTGTAGATAAAATGTTTTGCTTTTAATTATCCATGAGAAAAGATAATCTTTATAAGGTTAGCAGTAAAATTAGGTTGCTATAAATAGATGGACAGATAGACAGACAGATAGATTGCTGTTAGTTGCCATTGAAATGTGCCAGGAATATGGTTTCCACTAAGATGAGTTCTTACATATAAAACTGTTTACAAGGTTCACAGGAACAATTTCACAGGGTTGCATTTTTCCCCTGCTGTGATTGTGATTAAGAGAAAGAGAGAGGCTCAAAATGGCTTTTCATTTAGGTAAAGGAGGTTTTCCCTCCTTTCAGCATCTTTTTGTTGTTAGTTGCCCTCAGGTTGGCTCCGACTCTTGGCCACCTTGTATGTTACAGAACAAAACATTGCCTGATCCTGCGCCATCTTCATGATTGTTGGTGTGTTTGAGTCCACTGCTGTGGCCATTGTGTTGGAGGTTTTCCCTCGTTTTCGATGACGCTCTACTAGCTATGATGTCCTTTTCTAGTGATTGATGTTTCCTGATGACAGCCAGCACCATATCAAACATTATTCTGTTGTGATCCATAAGGTTTTCATTGGCTAATTTTTGGAAGTAGGTCACCAGGCCTTTCTTCCTAGTGACCTTAGTCTGTCTTAGATAGATAGAATGGGGGTGAAGGGCAGGGAACCACATGTGATTTTTTTTTTTTTTTAATTCAGGAGAATTGGTTTCATGATTTATTTTGAATTTGAGGAAAACCCTTAACATCTCCAAGCCTGAGCTCGTCTAGCTGTAATTGGGAAGCTGCTAACTTCCTAACTCCTTAAGGAAATTGTGTCACTGTCCTTAGCCTAAAATATGATATTTGCTATGTGGATAGTACTCTAATAAATAGGAAACAATGGATTATTTTAATATTACAGCAGGGTATATGTGGTTTAAATATGCATTTGGGAGCAATAAGAGTTAGTTTATTTGAAGCAAGAAATTTGTCTATATAAATTAAATGCATGTTCTTTTTGACATTTTGAATATATATGTGGGATTTATTAATACTTCTGAACCAGTGCTTTCCGTTGAAGACTAGTCCTGTGAAATGATGCACTAAGAAAAGGCTTCTGTGGTCTTCAGTTGGTGGTTCATGATGCACATTAGCACGCCGAAGCCTCTGACAAGTTCTGCTGCAAAGGCACCTGGTTCATCTTAGTTAGCCGAGTGCTATTTTCCCCACATATTTTATCATGGAACCTTAATTTTTGAAGACATCTATTTTTCCACGAACCCCCGTAATATAATTTGGAAACTGTGTATGTGTCAGGGTGTATCATAAGCATATAGCCTTAAGTTTGTTTAAATAAATATATTTGTTTAATTACACTGAGTTGTAATTCCTGGGGTGATTATATGATTATATCTGAACAACATGTCATATGTACCCATGTGTGTTGTGTTTATGTACACACAAGTACTGCATATACATGTTTACACTATGTATCTACTGCTCTGTAGATGCCATGTTATAGATAATGAGGTGATGATTGACTACAGAAATAAAAAATAAACACATCTTTATAGTTATATATATATTTCATAGTTTTGATCATATGGGAAATGGGAGTGATTTTTTTAATTTAAATTAAAAATAACTATAAAGCAAAAAAATGAAGCTGCATTAACATGTGTTAATTTTTATAAATATCCGTTTGTTGTCTGGGGCCCCTAGATAGTGCAAGCAGTTAATGCGCTCGACTACTAACCAAAAGGTTAGCAGTTCGGACCCACTCAGAGGCGCCTCAGAAGAAAGACCCAGCAATCCACTCCTAAAAATCAGCCACTGAAACCCCTATGGAACACAGTTCTACTCTGACACACATGGGGTGTCCATGAGTCAGAATCAATCAACTCAATGGTGTCTTGTTTTTGTTTGTGGCATTATCATTTCTTTGCTATATGAAGTTGATGCAGTCTGTGACTAAATATGAAATTAGCCTCTGCAGTAGGCTAAGGAAGAGGGAATACAAACACAATGAAAATGCTTCCCCAAATTACTTAAACACAGAGACACATAAGAAACACACAGTCTTGGCATATATGGAATGATCTTGAGGTGTAACAACCAAAGTGCGTGTTTTCTAACTAGAACTAGTCACTGTTTATACAGCCTGTGTTAACCCATCTGACTTCCTTGAATTGGTCACTTCTTGAATTGGTCACTTGGAGCCCTGGTGGCATAGTGGTTAAGAGCTTGGCTATTAACCAAAAGGTCAGCAGTTTGAATCCACCAGCCGCTCCTTAGAACCCCTATGGGGCAGTTCCATTCTGTCCTGTAGGGTCACCGTGAGGCAGAATTGACTCACCAGCAACAGGTTTCATTTTTGGCTTTGGTTTGAATTGGTCACTACTCACATCAATGTTAAGAATTTTTTTAAAATCTACTTAGAAGTTCTGTTTTTTAATTGAAAGTGCTTTTTAAAAACTATGTATGCTAAAGCTTCCTGGTCTAAAACCTTCCCTGAAAATTTTTTTGTGAACACTTTTTGACATTTTTAATGTTAATACAGCAGCCAGGTAGTCTAAACATCTATTCCTATTTTAAAGGTTACGTTCAACACTGACACAGAAGTGATATTATTATGGGAGGACTCCTTGGAGGGGCTTGAATTCTTTGGGTACAACGTAGTATATACTCTGCACGGAGTACTGCAGAGTCTTGCGGGACCCCAGCTTTCAGTGGTTTGTCTTGTTCTTGCATGTGTCAGATGTATCCTTTCTATAGAGAGAGTATGTGGTCATGGGAGTTCACCCACCCCGCCCCCACCCCATGAGTTGGCACACATATGCAGCATAGTTCTTATTGTTGTTTTCACTTAATTTTTCTAGATTATTGGGAAAAAATGAGTTTTATTGCTAACAGTATTATAGGCTGACTTGTGAAAATGAAGTTGCCAGCTTTGAGTTTTGTATCGTTGTGTGTGATAAACCGGTTTCTCCAGTGGGCCTGTGGGTTGGCCGTTGCGGATGGGCACAGACCAGGAGGGGAAGAAATAGTCCCTCACAGGCTCGGCATTCCCTGCAGGTAAGAGAGTAACCTGTAAACAGGATACACAGGACGCTGAGGTCACAGAACAGGGCATCCAGGCATCTTCAAGCCCATGTTTGGTAAAGTGACTTTTGTCTTCCCGGAAGGGCATTTCAGCAGCATTTCTTCAGCTGGTTTCACCTTCCACCAGTTGCTATATAGTCTCTACCTCTAACCAAAGTAGGATGTAGGTTGATGCCCAAGACAAAATGCCTCAGGATTCTTGATCATTTTCAGCTTCCACTAAAATGTCTAGTTTTTAAGTCAATTAAAAGATTGTTAGGAATTAGCCATGTGAAAGTGTGGAAAAATTGGGCAAAACTATATTAATTTATGGTGGAGTCTAAAATTTCTACAAGAGATTATTTTTATCCAGTTCATTATGGGGGACAATTCATCACCAGCTTCTTTTAAAAAGTCAAGATGAGTTCTATGATTACTTTGAAGATATATTGATATAGTTTTATCTAACTCCAGGAAGGTATTTTAGGAGTCTTTTCTTCCATACTCATTTCCATCAACCCGCTTTATTTGTACAAATATCTAGGTCGAGGCTCTTTGAGAATATGAAAAAGAAAAGGAAAAAATAAATAAACATACACAATAGAAACCTATGCCCATCGAGTCTATTTCGACTCATAGCCACCCTATAGGACAGAGTAGAACTACCCCATAGAGTTTCCAAGGAGCGCCTGGTGGATTCGAACTGCCGACCTTTTGGTTAGCAGCTGTAGCACTTAATCACTGCACCAACCGGGTTTCCATACACAATAGATAAACTTTAAAAATTAATTACTTTCAAAGTGTGGCACATTTGTATTTCCTTTTAGGGCATCCATTCCCTCCCACCCCCCACCCAAAACAAAGATAAATGTGTTTAGATGACAAAGTCACCAAGTTAGAATTTAGAATTGGGGGTGGGGGTGGGGGGTTGTCATAGTAGATTATTTTAGACTTCATAAAATAAACAGAATAAGATCAGGCTTGTGTAGGTCATGTGGAGGAGTTCTTAGATAAGAGAGTCAAACATAGTCTTGGGTCATGGGTGTTGATTTATGTGAAAGTCCATCAGTAAACTCATAAAACTTCTTGCTCTCAGAAATCAACATACAGGCATCACATCAGCCTCTCACTTCTGCTCGTGTTTGTTTTCTCCACAGAGCTACAGTGAACCTGTTGACGTGAAGGCATCTCAACCTCCTCAGCTGATCAGCTCGAAGCCATCCGTGTTCCACGGGCCCAGCCAGGCCCACTCAGCGCTGTACTTAAGTTCCCACTACCACCAACAACCAGGAATGAATCCTCACCTAACTGCCATGCATCCGAGTCTCCCCAGGAACATAGCACCCAAGCCGAATAACCAAATGCCAGTGACTGTGTCCATAGCGAACATGGCCGTATCCCCACCCCCGCCCCTCCAGATCAGTCCGCCTCTCCACCAGCATCTCAACATGCAGCAGCACCAGCCGCTCAGCATGCAGCAGCCCCTCGGGAGTCAGCTGCCCATGCAGGTCCAGTCGGCCTTACATTCTCCTACCATGCAGCAAGTAAGTGCTGTGCGCGCCGCTAGACTCAACAGCCGCCTTCCAAGGCTCTCTGTTTATCCAGAGAGAATGTTGTTGTCTTGTTGATTCCAACTCATGGTGACCCCGTGTTGTACAGAGTAGAACTGCTCCACGGGGTTTTCTTGGCTGTAGTCTTTAAGTAAGCTGATCGCTAAGGCTTTTCTTCTGTGGCGCCGCTGGGTGGGTTCAAACTGCCAGCCTTTCTATGCAAACCGTTGGCATCACCTTGAGAGAGAAAGGTTTTTCTGTTCTTATATTTCATTGGACAGAGAGAGAACTGAAGATATTCAACAAATGCAATTTTGCGTGCTGAGAAAATGCAGTTTGCGGTTTACAAACGGTGACGGGACGGTGTGGTGTTTTACAATCACGAGAACTGCTAGTTGTGGCCTTTCGTAATCACTGATTTCTTTCCCATGATGTCCATTTTGCTTCACCTTTGTAATCACGCTTTCTTGTTTTCTGATCCTTGAGTGAAGCACTTTGGTTACTTTAAGATGCTAAGTACTGCCAAAGATCTTTGTGGAATAGAGAATTTTATATTTTCAAAAATATATATTATTTGGAAAATGAGAAAGATCTTGACTAACATGCCTGTTGAATCCAATAAATGCTGCATGATGAAGTCAGGCTCACTGTTCCTGGCCAGAAATGTCTAATTTGGTGGAACCCAAAGAGCCCCAAGAATGGAACATTTTAGATGGAGTTTTCCTTTAAAATGGATATTGGCTTCCACATAGACTAGAGAACTCAGGAGGGCTGGGCACCTCCCTACCCACACCCCAGATTATTAGAAACATTTGTGTGCAATCTCAGCTTAAATCTCCTTGAAGATCAAGTTTTTTTTTCCTTTTGAATTTTGATATTATTTTAAGATGTGAAAATTAGGAACAAGCAATATAAACTATATTACAATGAATGTAAAGTATTCAAAAATCCTAAACACTGCTTTTAAAAAAACACATAAAGGTGAAAACTACAAATCATGCCAAAGTCAGCTATCACGTTTACCATCCAAGTACTCTGTTGTTTCCAGAGCTATATAATTAAATATCAAGTATAACCTTCCTGTAGAATTGCCATCTAGCCTTCTAAGGAATTTGAATCCATAGTTGGATTGGGGAAGAGGAGGGGCAGGGGGGAGAAAGAAGAATCAAATATGTACAGTCCCCAATTCCTTTTTATTATTATGATCCCAGGCAGAATTTCTGAGCGCTGACAGTAACAAATCCAGGCCTCTGATCCATTCCCTCCACCTTTAGTTTTCAGGAAACTTGTGGTGCAGATGCTGGCATTATCTGCATGCTACAGTTGAGGAAACCAAGGCTTGGCAGAGTTCTATAGTGTACTCACAAGCTCAGAGCTGGAATTCAAACCAAGGTCTGTGTAAAAATCAGAGACTGGATTCTTAAAAACGAGGCCTGCTGCCTTCTGCTTGTAATCATTCTTACAGGATATTAACTGTTTCTTATTAGAAGACCCAGGTCTCCTAAGAATTTAGAGGGTCTTTAAATCCTTGTTAGTTCTAAAATCAAAATAGTTGTGGTCCCACTTGGGGTACCAAAAAAGAAAAAAAGTTATGAGTATAGGAAGACAGCTCTACTGGAGTCTTCCTACATCCCCAAGCAAAGGATATTGATGAAGCTCTGACAATTTGGTTGCCTACTTCCAAGAAACCAGTGTTGATTCATTGGGCAAGAAGACTGTAGGGGAAGGCAGACTCCCACCCTCCTGCCTGTTCACAGGATTAAATTTCCATTCTGCCTATCAGTCATCACTTGCAATAAAGGAATACTACTGGGGCATGCATGTGAACTAATAGTGTCTGGGTACAAAATTAATAGTTTGATGGACATACCTACGGTTGTGTAGGTTGATCCCTGTTTAGGGGTGCTACTTAGCTCAGGGACCCGTGCTTCATCACAGCGTCCTAGCTTGGAGCTACTTCTTCCCAGAGGAAGGAATACCCAAGGTGCAGCCCCGCACAAACTATGGGCTGGAAGTTTGCTTCTGTCTGTCCAGAAGGAAGACCTTTTTTCTAATTTACTCCCTCAGAGATGGTGCCTTTTTCTGTTTATACTAAGACCTTGGATGAGCTGGCTGTGATCCTGAATAATTTTCATATATTTCAGAATTACATAAGGTCACATGTAAAAATTCAAATTTATTTTTCCATATAGAATCTTCACTGAATAGGAAGAAAGTAGAACAGATTACACTGGACAAGTTATCCACTCATCTTTAAGTCAGTTCTGTTGGCATGTCACAAAAAGTATTCTTTCAGAAGAACTGGTAGGACATGATTTCAGCTGACATGGTAGCTGAAGACAGAATGGCATGAACCCAAACGGAGAATAAATAGCAGCAAAGATTTTATTGGCCAGAATCGCTTTGAACGTTGCCTTGATCACGGTAGGTGATCAGGGAAATCATTGTTGAACAAATAGGACACACAAGTGAATTAAGGAACAAAGGAGTTGTAAAAGTGTTTAATATTAGAAAGAATTACAGGGTATGTTGTAGAGTCTCCATTCCTTGGAAGTTTTTAAATATTTTCACTCATTCAAAAAATGTTATTTGAGGCTGTAGCATGTGCTGGGCACAATCTAGGCCTTTGGGATTGAGTTGGTGAATAAGACAGGTGAGGAGCCCTGTTCCATAAAGCTCACATGAAGGAAGGGCAGGGGAGTGTGTTTAGATAAACAGAGAAATACAGATCGTCCTTGACTTATGACAGGGTTCTATTCCCATGACCCCGCATCATGTCACTTCTAAAGTTAAGTAGAATACTTCTTTCTTTTTTTTTTTAGTTTTCATTAGTATTGCCTTTTATTATCAGTATCTTTATAAACCCGATCTTTATTTTCTTTGGGGATTGGCATAAGAGATATAATATCAGCAAATCATGCGCTGCAACACTGTATGTAGTACATATTACTAATGATAAGATGTATAAAAAAAAGGATGGTCGTGTGGTTCGTCGTAATCAAATATGTTGTAAGTCAGGGCCTACCTGTAGTTAAGGTGCTCTGAAGAAAACACAACAGGAGGTAGATTGTGGAGCACCTGGAGAAAGGGCAGTGCCTTGGTTGAGAGTGGAAGAGGAAGAGGAGGAGGGCTCTCAAGGGCTGGTGTTGGAACAGAAACCTAAAGTATCTGAAGAGGAGGCAGCTTTTAAAACTGAGAAGGATGAGCTAGAACATTGCAGCAGAGCGCACTTGGGGCTGGGCAGACCATGCTGGGAGGAGCTTGGCTTGTCCAGGAGACAGAAAGGGGCCAGTGGGGGCTGCTGTGCATAGGGGATGAGGTCAGATTCATGGGCAGGTAACTGGAGAAGGATCCTACAGGTTAGGAGGACTGATACCAGTCCCAACAAGTGGGTAGTCCTAAAATCAGGGTCAGAGAGCCAGTGTTCCTTGGATGTCACTTAATTGACAAGTCCAACAGCTCAGGGCCAATGTTCATGTCATCAAAATGTAACCCGTAGTGGCAGAGCAAGGTGGTGGATAAAGTTTGACCCAATTCGTCATCCAAAGGTTGCCTTTATCCTGAAGATGTTTGCTTCCTGGAAGTGGTGGCCACATTCATATATTCAAACAAAAAAAGTAAAAAGAGAGAGAGAGAAAAAAAAAATAATGGCCACTGTATTTTTAAAATAATGTCTTACATTTCAGCATTACTTTAACTATTTCATTTTCCTTTTGAAAATGAATGTATCCTATGAAAATAATTGTATAGCCCACCAGGAATAATAGTTTCACTTCTTTTTCTAGAACATACTTTACACACTAAACCCTTGATCCTGCTTTTTTCGTCCAGTTTTCTTTCTTCCCTTTTTTCTGCTCACTGTATTGTCGAATGAGGTCAAGAGAAAAAATATCATTAATATCTGTCAACATCCTTTATAACCTTAAGAAAAAATCTTTGTATGATACCACGCAGACAGATTTTCAATTTCCTTGTGTAATAAACAGCTGCTTTAGGATTTGGATGTAATTTAAAGGTTTTAAAAAAATATCACATTGAGATTGATGAATAAATCAGTTGTGAAGACAAAAACATTGACGCCTGTTGAAAATACCTCTCCAGACAGGCAGGAAATGAAGTTAGTTCTCAGGGAAGTGTGGATACGAGGATCACTGTTTGGTTGTGCTGCAGGCTTTTTAGGACTTGCTGGGGCGGCACAACAGAACGGCTAGGGCTACAGGAATCTAATTAAAGAGCAAATGTCCCTTCTGACATGAAATTAATCTTTATCATGTTTCCTATTTTTATTTCAATCTGGCACCAGAAAATGAAATTTAAAATTCCAGGCATGCTGCAAAACAGTTGGTGATTTTTCTCCTGAGCATTAAAATGCAAAATATTCAGTCTCGTTTAATTAGACCGCTAAGCAAACATTTTTCAAAAAATTTATATCATCATTGTTGTTTCCTGTTTACGTCAATAATAAAAATGTGCTTAGCTCTAAGTTTGGCCTCAGCATCTCTTTATATAGAATTCAGAAAGAATGTTCCAGTCTCTAAATTGAGAGAAAGTGAAATAATAACGTTACTGAAGACTTCACTTTTATTTTTCTTGGTCCTTTGTTATTTTAATATGAGTGATCTTCTTAAGTGTAGGCATTGAAGTCAGCTGAATTTTAAGTATTTGTACTCTGTATATAACACATAGTTTTAGTTTTATAAACTGAAGTCTCCCATCTAATTTAAACTAATAAATAATACTGTCCTGATATTCTCTCACCTAACCTTGAGGATCAACTTTTATTGGATGGGATACAAAGCAATGTGGGTTTCTGTTTGTTGTTGTGTGAGGTGGGAAGAAGAGGACTGGTTTGGTTTGGTTTGGTTTTTTGCCTCTTCATATGTTTTTCCATACCTTCAGCTAACTCAGAATGTTTTCAATTACTCTGTATTTGAGACTTATTTACTTTTAGGTTACATTTTGTTGGTTTTACAAAAATCCAATATGGAGAACTTTACATTAAAAGGATAGGGAGCCGTGGCATTTACTCATTTATACTCCCTGTACCTTTCCAATAGCAGCATCAGATAGTCTGTATTAACTGTATTCATTGAAAAACTTTATTTATTGAGCCAGTACTATGGACTGTTGTTGTTACGTGCCAACAAGTCAGTTCTGACTCATGGTGACCCTATGTACAACAGAATGAAACACTGCCCGGTCCTGTGCCATCCTCACAATCATTCCTATGTTTGAACCCATTGTTGCAGCCACTGTGTCAATCCATCTCATTGAGGGTCTTCCTCTTTTTCATTGACTCTCTGCTTTACCAAACATGATGTCCTTCTCCAAAGACTGGTCCCTTCTGATAACATGTCCAAAGTACGTAAGATGAAGTATCTCCATCCTCCTTTCTAAGGAGCATTCTGGTTGTACTTCTTCCAAGACAGATTTGTTTGTTCTTTTGGCAGTCCATGGTATAGTCAATATTCTTTGCCAACACCACAATTCAAAGGCATCATCCATCATCTCATCCGTCATCTGTCATCTCATCTTGCTGGATGAGAGCATCCAGTAAGCAATGAAAACGCATGCTGCACTTCAGGCCATTACAGTACAGCCCTTGGGACAGGGGCTTAATCAGTGAAGGAGACACAAGGCTATACTCTCGATGCTTTTTCCTCCTGGTAGCCCAGCATCACACTAAAACCAAAAAAACCCATTGCTGTTGAATTGATGCAGACTCATGGAGACCCCATGTGTTACAGAGTAGAACTGCTTCATAGTGTTTTCTTGGCTATAATCTTTATGGAAGCAGATTATCAGGCCTTTCTTCCATGGTGCCACTGGGTGGGTTCAGACAGCCAACCTTTAGATTAGGAGTTGAGCACAAACTGTTTGCACTACCAGGGACCTAGCACCACAGTAGACACTAAGAAAACAAAGAAAGTTGGCCACTAAGCCACATAAAGACAGTGTCACAGGACCATATGAATTTAATAAATTTCACTGAAACCAGTGAGTCTCCTAGCCTGGTGAGGTATAGGATGGGCTGGAGAGAGAGAGGAAGTCAAATGGGAAAGGACTGGGGAACTGAATAGCCCGTTATATCTCTTACTTTTCACTTTCCTATTTTGGAAGATGTTTACAGCTTAAACTGCAGGTGCTATCTACGTAGACAACCTTATTTCCCACAAGCCAGTTGTTAATTTTGGGGATGTTCTATTCCTTTTAAGTCTGTGTGATGTCAAATAACCAATCTGGCTAAATTTTCCACTTTTTAATGATTTGTTTCGAATCACTCACAGAGTTTTGTCTTTCATCCACAGCTTTGGTCAGAACTAGTGTGGACATTGGCTTAAAGTCTTTATCATTTGGATGGAAAATAATTTAAGTAATATCTTAAAGACAATATTGTGAATTGAAGACATTTGATAATTGGTATCTCTTTTACCCAAGGGAGACCTAAACATAAATAAAAAGCTAAGGAGACATCCTTGGTGAAAAGCCAACCCTCTGATCATCACACTGAGTTTAAAAAAATAAAAACTCAACAATATTATACCTTTAAAAGCGTCCTACAAGTAAACAGAGAATGTTTCATTTTAAAATCTCTTTATTTTTCAGTGGTTAAAACCATGGATGAAATCTACTACAGAAAGAGACAGCCATAAGATTAATTAAGTTGCTTTTTTTGGTCATTTCTAGCAAAGCTTGCTTGTGCTGCTCTTGAATTCACCAGATAAGCTAAAAATAATTCTTTGTATAGAAAGCTTTTTGTTTACCAGATATAGCTATATACTTTAGAGATTCTCTCTTTGAATTTTTAATAGCTTTACGAGGCTTAAAAGTCAACACTTCCCCATACCAGTATATTAAAAGAATCTTCCTGAAGTCTGATTATTGTTTGCCAGTTAATAGACTTTTCAATTAAAAAATATTTGCTCTGCCTTACGCTTTTCCCTTTCTGGGTTTTCCAATGGCAAGTTGTTTTGTATCTCTTTCCCTATGTTAGCCCAACAACTGTTCAAAAGCATTGGTTGAAATTTTTTAGCTGAGAGAGAAGTACAAATAAAAGAAGCAGATGGTCCCTTTGTGACTGAATGAAGAAAAAGGGTTTTGAGAACAATATGTGAATAGGTGTAGTCTAATAAAACACTCAGCCACCTGCTGCCTGAATCCTTCAGAAGAGATTCTGTTGCGTATTCTGGGGATTAACTATTAATGTATCCTTAGGTTTGATAGAAAACAACTTCAGAGGTCGAGGCCCTTTCTTCCCTTTGTTTTGATGGAGCTGGCATCTCTATATATTAAATTGTTTCTCAATTCAATCTATCTGCTCAAGAGTATAATGAAAGGTTTTCTGACACATGTTTAAATGAAGGAAAGATAGAAGAATGGGGTGTGGACACTTTTTTTTAACTTTTGTTTTAATTTTTATGTGCTCTTATAATATGCTTGCCCTCACAGAGACACAAGCAAGAAGGCAGTAGTGTGTTTGCAAAGCGTGGATAAATATTTAGGTGCTTTTCCTCGTAAAAAAGGTGCTTTGATCCTTATTCGTGAACTTGCTTTCCCTTCCAGGGATTTACTCTTCAACCCGACTATCAGACTATTATTAGTCCTACATCTACAGCTGCACAAGTTGTCACCCAAGCAATGGAGTACGTGCGTTCGGGGTGCAGAAATCCTCCCGCCCAGCCTGTGGACTGGAATAACGACTACTGCAGTAGTGGGTAAGCGGCCAGTGAGCGCCACCTGGTGGTGGGATAGTCTCATAGCATGCACATCGCGCCCTGCTCCATAGTCGATGGAAAGCTCCATCTTCCTGCTTTCTAAAGGATCATCTGGAATGGTTCCACGTTCGTAGAAGCAGAAGACACCTCTCCAGAAATGTTTAAGCAGTCTTGTATCCCTGCCAGGAATATCCAGTTGCAGCCCAGTCGATTTTGATTTCGACCACCCTACGTGTGTCGGGGTAGAACTGTGCTTCACAAGGTTTTCAGTGACTGATTTTTCAGAATTAGATTGCGTGCCAGGCCTTTGTTCTGAGGCACCTCTGGGTGGGCTCCAATTACCAGTCTTTCAGTTAGCAGCAGAGCATGTTAACCATTTGCACCACCCAGAGACTGTCTGCCAGGAATAAATGTCCTTAAATAGCTGTTAGCTTTACAGTAGGTTAACTAATTATGCACTTTGCCAGTAAGAAGCAACTCCATCCCTCGAGCTAGAACAAATAATTCAGATATGTCTCCCTGCCACCCGTGGTACAGGTTTTCTTGTAACAAGGCATTGTTTTCTCTCAATACAGGGCCATGCAGAGGGACAAAGCACTGTACCTTACCTGAAAATCCCAACACCTCTTCTTTCCACTGAGGAATTCAGGGAAGTCTTTTCATCATGGATTGCTTTGTACAGCCTTGGCGGTTCTCCATTTTATTAGAAAATACAAGTTGCTAAGCACTTAGGACCATTTGAGCTTGTGGGTCACCCACTCTGGAAGAAATAGTCATGCTTCTTTATTATTTTTTTAATCCTCTATGGACATTGTTTTTTCTTCTTCCCTGAAGGAAAGTTGGACCATTTCGATCTTATGTTGGTTTTTTGCTGTGAAGTGCTGCTCCCTAGTAACTGCCTTAGCAGCTGTAGATGTCTCGGATAAAAGTCCTGGATTTTCCATTGGTTTTCATAATGGGTGTTTATATGAAACTACTAAAGACTTTTTAAATGGCTTGATGTAGCAGTCATAGCAAGTTTGTAAATAGCATCTATGTTACACTCTCCTAGAGTATAAAATGTGACTGTTTTTGTAGCTAAATTGTAATTTGAAACTGGCTCATTCCAGTTTGTTGATTTCACAATAGGGGTTAAATTGGCAAACATTCATATTTTTACTTCATTTTTAAAACAACTAATAGTTTCTATATTTTCAAAATATTTGAAGGAAAAAAGTATTCCCAAATGATTTTAATTTAAAACAAATTGGCTTTGTCTCATGGATCAGACACAAAGAAACTAGTGTTAAGGGAAGCGCAAACACGTTTATTTTGTACTGCAGAAAAATTGCTTTTTAGTATCACTTTTTGTGTAATGGTTAGAAAGCGTCATTTAAGTCCTTTTATGTATAAAACTGCCAAATGCTTACCTGGTGTTTTATTAGATGCAGAAGCAGATTGGAAACATCTAAATTATAACCTTTACGTATGGCTCTGTATTATTGTTTCTTCATACTGTGTCTGTATTTAATCTTTTTTTTTTATGGAACCTGTTGCGCCTATTTATGAAATAATAAATATAGGTGTTTGTAAGTAAATTTGTTAGTATTTGAAAGAGGTTTCTTTGATGTTTTAACTTTTGCTGGCAAAAAAAAAAAATTCACGCTTGGTGTGAATACTTTATTATTTAGTTTTTATGGTGACATGAATAAAGCCAAACCTGCTTTTCATTTAGCAGCAAATTAAAGCAACCAATCCTTATTTCTTCATTTCTTTGGTGGATGCAAAGGAAAAACTATGATATTTAAGAACATTCTTTCTTTGTACAATGTAACTGAGACCTGCCCTCAAGTCACACAAGCTACAAGGTTAAACAAGCATGATGGGTCCTTTATCCGAAAAGGGTTGCTTCTTGGTTCTCAGGTGGTTTGAGTCAGTTCTTTATACTTCTCCCCAAAATATCAAAGTTGAATCAACCAAAATTCCTCCAGTTGCATGCTTTTCACCAAATCCAGAGAACGCTTAAGAACTGAACAGGGGCAGGAGGAGGTGAAAGGGAAGCATACTGTCAAGAATACAAACAAAAATGAAAGGTGAGTGACCAGACAGCCAAAAGAAAGGGAAAGCCTCCAAAATTTGAAAACGGTTGATAGAAATTGAGGTCCTTCCTGTCTTTTGTGCTTCTACAAGCTATTTCTCTTTTCAGAATTCCTGGATCTTCCAAGAGAATTCTGAGGGTACAAGAAATTGGTGAAGGAACCAGAAGCATGGAGAATCTAGCTGAAGGTTTGCATGGCTTTTAAATCCAAAGAGCTAGCAAACTGTTGCCTTAGGGGGGATCCTATCGAGAAAGCTAGTCTGACTGGCAGTCGTGAGGATGGCTGATGTCTTTCATGGAACATGTGAAGTAAACTTAGCAATTTCACTAAATACAAATATATGCATTGCATAACTCAGTCAGAATTAAAAAGACAAAAGATATGCTTGCTTTGGAACGATTTTAGGCATTGAATCACTTGAGCATGTAATAACTAATAAATAATGCGGATCCAGTGTGATTATTAAAACGACTGTAGCTGAGAGCTCTAATTTTCCTGTCTTGAAGCTGTATAAGAACTCATGTGATTAAGTTCAGTTTATTGTTTGTCTGTTGAGTATTTTAGAAATATACTGGCACTACTAATTACCCAATGTCTTTTATTTATTATATTATGATAAAGTAAAATCCTCACTTGCACTGAGTCTGAAATGAGAAGGTAATTACCAGGATATGAACAGCCAGCTTTGACTTTGACAGGCAGTTTGTACCGGAAAGAGCTATGTTGCTTACAGCTTTTCCAGAGCAGGTGTACAACCAGGGTAGACAGCGTGTTAAAATTCAATACCAAATACAGTAAATGCATATGTGTAAATAAAAGAAAATACATCATAAATAAAAATACCATGCGTGAGTGACCATATTCTATTTGGTTATCGATTGGTCTTTAAAGGACAGAAACAGATGAGAAATCCCAAATAAATCTCATGGCAGAAAGGATGGGACACAGTAAGGATTACTGGCTGCCGTGACCATAGATAGGCTTTCCTAAAACACTGCGAATGCCCTCTCATCAATCTGAGGCAACAGTAAAGTGAGGTATTGCCTGAGAGAGCTGCCATCTTTATAGGGGAGTCCCTGGGTGATGCAGATAGTTAACATACTCAGCTGCTAACCAAAAGGTTGGAAGTTTGAGTCCACCCAGAGGTGCCTAGGAAGAAAAGCCTGGTAATCTACTTACCAAAAATCAGCCATTGAAAACCCTGTGGAGCACAGTTCTGCTCTGACACACATGGGGTTGCCATGAGTAGGGGGTTGACTCAATGGAAACTGTGTTTTTTGTTTTTGTTTTCACCTTTACAGGAAGCCAGGGTCTCACCATGTGCCTGGTAAGACCATAGCTTATAACTCAGAGGAACAACAGTGTTTCACACTGAGTTCTCTGCAGAAGCACTGTATGAGATTCCTAGACCTTGAACACAGTCATTCCAGGAGATTCAGCAATAATATTGAACACAAAATATATCCTAAACACACTGAAATCGAAATGATAGCTAATTAGAAAACAAAAGAAAAGAATGTTTGACAGTGGGTAGTAGAGAGATGAGTTGTGTCTCTAAGAAAGAATAATCTGAAAGCTGAATGCCCAACCAAAGGCGAACGAGTTGACAATGAAAAATTAGTCAAATAATAACTTCCAGTTAATCACATTAGTGAAGATAGCTAAGGATGAAAGTTGGTCTCTGTGGTTATTCTCATCTTGTTGCCTCTGTGGGGAAGAGCCCATTCTGATTGGGACATGACCATCCATGGAAAGCTCTGACTGACAGAGCGGACTCTCCTGGCCTGAATTCATCATGAAAAAAAAAAAAAAAAAAATCTAGGAATGCAAAATTTAAAATTAGCTCAACAGCCAATCCCTTTTTTCCATGGGCCTCTTGCCCTTTGCAAAAGACTTGCCCCATCCTTTGGAAATGTAATTGGATTGAACCATCGGAAACTGATAATGTTTGACCTCTTTATCTACAGAGATGGCAATTTCATATGGTTCCACCCGGTATTATGGTACCAAAGACAATGAGGATTTAGGCGATGACTTCAGATACAATTTCAAATGGAGTTAGATGTACTTTACAAATTCCTAGGAGAAAATATTTGAAGAAGTAAAGAGTTATATTTGTTTAAAAGGTGCCCTCATTTAGAATTAGTCCCCAGCAACTCTGCTGTACTAAACAAAGGCTATTTTAAATGACCAAATTCTAGTAAATCTCAATAACTATCCTTATTTCTTTGTTACAGTAAAATTTAATGGGAAATTTTGTAATAAGTAGGTTATCTGTTGGCATGAAAGTCTTATACAAGATGCTCTCAATATTTGTTTGTGGAAGGTGGATTTGAACTGCATTTTTTCATTCCACTCATAGCTGTCATTTTAAGATAAGGATAAAAACACAGATCAGTTTCTTTTGCTGACAGTTAAACATTGAAATGGGGCAAGGCCAGGTACAGAATTTACATAATGAGTTTAACTCCAAAATAGTTATTACACTGACCTACCCTGTCACTTACTTAATGGGTGAACTCATGTGAATCACCAAACAGTACCTTATCTCTCTTTGCCTCCCTAAAATTTCTTATCTCCAAAATAACTTAGAGTATCATAAAACGAAAAACCCATTGCCATCTAGTCAATTCTGACTCATAGAGACCCTACAGGACAGAGTAGAACTGCCCCGTAAGATTTCGAAGGAGCAGCTGGTGGATTCAAACTGCCAGCCTTCACCACTGTGCCACCAGGGCTCCTGGAATATCATAGTACATAATAAATGCTCAGTAAACGCAATGATATACGGAAAGATCAATGAAACATCACAAATTATCCTCAAAAGGACATGTATGATGTTTCCTTGAGGATTTAAAAACTCTTCAAACATAGAAGGAAATTAGGAAAACAACAAATGTTGGTGAGGATGTGGAGAAACTGGAACCCTCAACCGTTGCTGGTGGGAATGCAAAACAGTGCAGTGCTATGGGAGACAATTTGGTGGATCCTCAAGAAGTTAAATACAGAATGACTATACGACCCTGCAATTTCACTGCCAAGAGAGTTTAGGAAGCATAGAGTATCTGTTAAGGGTGATGGAAAATTTGACAACATATGTGAGTGATGCACATCATGGCTAATGTAATCAGTGTCACTGAACTGTACATGTAAAAAATGTTGAATTAGCAAATGTTGGGTTATATATATTTTTACCACAATAAAAAATATAGAAAGGAATTAAATATTGCTAGTAAGCACTAGGGGGTGAAGAAGAGTGGAAATTTTCCATTAAGAAGCCTAAGATTACAATAAGATTGAAAGAAATAATTTCAAAATGAGTTAGGCCATATTTCTTTGGTCTACATAATTGAACAATAGCTTTTCTAGTTTTGACGAAAGAGAAAGATATAATACACACTAGCCACATCAAGAAAATAAGCAAACCACCCCCCCCAAAAAAAAAAGCCAAACTCACTGCCATTGAGTCGATTCTGACTCATAGTGACCCTTAGGACAGAATAGAACTGCCTCATAGGGTTTCCAAGGCTGTAAATCTTTACATAAACAGACTGCCACATCTTTCTAGCATGGGGCGGCTGGTGGATTCAAACCACCAACCTTTTGATTAGCAGCCAAGCACTTTAACCACTGAGCACCAGGGCCCCTTAAGAAGCAAAGGAGGGGGAAGAAAGCTGCTAGACAAGTAAGAGTGTTGAGCACAAGAGAGAAAGTTCAGGAGACAAGTTTATGGAAAGTTAAATTAAAACATTCCGGAACAGGGTGGGTTTTTTTGGTAATTACAAAGTATTAGTATGACTCGGTGAAACAAGTAACAGAGCATATTTCCTGGACTACCCCTAAATTATAGAGGGCTTGCAGCCAGTTCATTCCTGTTCAAACCCCTGCTGAGAATTGGCATTTCTAACAAGTTCCCTGCTGAGAACCGGCATTTCTAACAAGTTCCCAGGAAGAAAATAAGAATCACCTGAGAATCTTGTTAAACTGTAGATTCTGATTCAGTATATCTGGAGTGGAAATGCAAATATCAGCAGGGAGTTAGAACTGGAACCAACCGGTTTGAAGCCCTTAAATTATACCAGGATAAGATGAAATGGTTCTATTTTTAAGATTCTCAGAGGAGATTTCCCTGCTTTTATTTGGAACCAGGTCCCAGCCTGGAAGAACCTGTTCTAGCAGAAAAGTCTCCAAATCTGTATACAAGACTATCGCTTAGAGAAAGGGGGTAAGGGAGCTTCCTAACATTACTAACAACAAAGGAGGAAGACTAGGAGCAGCAGGAGGGAGGGTAACCTCAAAGCCAAGATACACTTAGCAATATGAGTGGAACCAAACCAGTTGCCTTCCAGTCAATTCCAACTCGCGGTGACCCCGTGCGTGTCAGAGTACAACTGTGCTCCGTAGGGTTTCAATGGCTGATTTTTCAAAAGCAGATCACCAGGCCTTTCTTCTGAGATGCCTCTGGGGGAACTTGAGCCACCAACCTTTTGGTTAGCGGCAAAGCACGTTTACCGTTTGCACCATCCAGGGACTCCAACATGTATATCCGTGTAACAAAACAAAAACCAAACCCGTTGGCGTCTGGTTGATTCCGACTCATAGCGACCCTATAGGACAGAGTAGAACTGCCCTATAGCGTTTCCAAGGAGCAGCTGGTGGATTTGAACTTTGACCATTTGGTTAGCTGCCGAGCTCTTAACCACTGCACCACCAGGGCTCCACATATCCCTATAGACAGAGAAATTACACCTGGCGTTCTCATTTATCACTTCACCAAACATCTTGTCCTGTGTGTCCAGGACCAGATTACACTGTAGTAGATAAAAAAGGGAAGATGAAGTTCTTGTTCCATGGACGGCGATAATGAGAACAATGACCTGTTATATTTCCGCATGGGGCAGAGTCGCACCTCATTACGGCAGCCCCCAGCAAACGGCCAGCAGCACGAATCCCACAGCTGCCATCATTTTGCTTTGTATTAACAGCTTGCTAGCAAAGACATTTGAAAGTGAAATTTCATTCACACCGATATGACGCCAGAAAATAATAGTGACTGGAAAATAAAATGGTAAGACTTATAATTCCATGGAGGAAAAAAATATCATTCTGAAGAAAGACTATGAACCAAACTACAGTATTTTAAAGGCAGCAGTGTCACTGTTTGACAATGTGTGTTTACAATACGCCCAAACATAATCGCCCTGATGGGCTGTCAGGGAAAAGATTGATTTGGCAAAGATTAGTATTGACTTGCTGGTTATTAAGGCTTTTAAACAGCTGTATCTGGTAGCATTCCTCTAAGTGCCTGTCATGGCTGAATATCAGCCTCACACCCTGGTGCTTGCCAGCTGTTACTAAACAATCTTATACCACACCGAGTGTCTTTCTCCAGGCCAAATAGCACGAGCAAACTATTGCCAAATGAGCTTTTCTTCTCTCTTGTCAGTTTTTTTCTGGAGGTGGGTAGGGAGATTCTGAAATGTCAGCTCGTGGCCGATGGCTTAGCTGATAAGAGAGGCCGGAAGCCAGTAGGTGGTTTGGGTGCTAGATGAATATATTCCCCACGTTGAGAGTGGTGGGGCTGTTAGTCACCTCACACAGTCAAAGAAACCACAGCATGCAACTGCTGTAGTCAAAAGGGTTTCAAGACAGTTAGAAAGTGGCCATCAAAGGTTTAGCGCCATCAGAATTCCAAAAGTAATGTGTTTCCTCAGCCATGCAAATGCCCTCTCCACCATAATGGTGCAAAAAGACCCACAGGGGCATGCTGAGAAAAAGTTCAGTAGATGACTATTAGTCTTCCTCAGAGAACTGACATTTCTCCCTAGAACTCTGAAACAGGACCAGCCACTTGATAGAACATTCACCTTACTTTTTTAAAAAAAAATAGACATTATTTTTTAGAGCTGTGTTAGGTTTACAGG